TTCTTGAACTGTGGCAAATATACCCACCCTCTGCATACAAGAATTCTTTAGTGACACTTCTCCTAAGTTCCATGCTATATTCAGTCACAGTCTCACTGTTGCACGTGCTTCCCCAAATATTTGCCTCTTATTTCTGTGCAAGAAAAGTTGACTGCCGCTACAAAGTATTGACTGAAGTTGCTCCTTCCTGTTACCAGCAGCACTATATGCTTTATGCCCATCTTAATATTGTCTGATTCTTCAGAACCTGTGTTTGCCGCACTCTGTTGCACTGTCTCCCTTGGCATGTAAAATACACCATATTTACTACTATTGCATCTAAGACTTAGCTAAAGTGCACATTACCTTATCAGTATGGACCTTCCCGTAGATTCCTGAAGTGCATGAAACGATAATCTAATTCATATCCTATAAAGCGCAACTGTGCCACACTATCTAACCAAATGCTAATGGTAATATTAAGTGCTTGGTGCTGAGAGCTAAAGTGTTAGTGTGGGTAAGAGTTAATTTTTGTTTTGTGTTCTAGCTAGGAGTGACTGAGTCCTGCAGCTCACTCAGTACTTCTTTGATACTTAGTTCCAGATAGACTCCCTATCCGTCTTCTGATAATAAACTTTAGGGAGCACATCCTTAGTCTCTTACTGTTTCTGTATACCCCCTCCTGCCTCAGAAGGCTCTCTCCAGATCCTTAGGTCTGCAGGGAGGTTTCTGCTCTTCCTCGGTCAGTGCTCTGTACTAGGCACCACTCTCTCTCTGTTACCAGTCCCACTGAACTGCTCCTCTGTCTCTGTGTGTGTGTGTGTGTGTGTGTATGTATGTGTGTGTGTGTGTGTGTGTGTGTGTGTCTGTCTGTCTGTCTGTCTGTCTGTCTCTAGCACCCCCCAAAGTTGTTGTTCTGGCTCCCTTTTAACTGGTGAGCCTGCCCATGTGCAGGCTAGCTGCTTCTTAAAAAGGTGGCGGCCTGGCTCCAGCTGCTCTCTGGGTTGCTCCTGTTCCTGCCAGCATTGTAAGCTGTTTTTTAACCCCTTTTTTGTCCTTGGTTTCCTCACATTCTGCTTATGGACAACATGACTCAAAGAGATCCAAAACTGTGGTGAGTACTTTCTTTCTCTGGCCCTTTTCTGATTTTCATCTGAGATGCCTAAACTTCACTTCTCACTGAGGCAGAATGGGTTTGCCAGGCAGTAGAGAAAGTGATTCCAGCTCCCTTCCCAAACTCACACATCTAGTACCCTACTATATGGTTATGACTGTGCTCGTTTCACTGCTACAAGGGCCAACCACAGTCTTTGAAAAGAGGGCTAATTAATCCTTGTATATGTAAGACATAAGAGAGAATTTCTTGCTTAACAAGACTCTCTTAACCAAGACAGGGACTGTTCTGCCTTAATACAATATTCTAAGACAAGTGTTTTTTATGTTTTAAAATATTTTTATATATTTTTGTTTTGTAAACAAATTTGCTTTCTTTGCTGTCCTACAACACAGCAACTATTTGATCTCAGTGTACTATTTTGAAGTCAAATACAATAGAAGTTTGGACACTTGGAATGACTCAGAACTGGGATCTATTTTCTATTGTTTACTATACTTACTTTTCCATGAATAGGAAGATGTTCAAAGATGATGGAACAAAAATCATTTTCTGATTGATCAGTATCCCCTCTAGGAGTTTTTTAGCAACCATGTCTGGCTCCAAAATAGGTGTTAATCTGAAATTAAAGGACAGGATACATTTAAGTGTTGCAACCATATTACATTAAATGAAGACATTAAGGACAACATAATTCAAAGGAGAATACTTCAAATATTCAAAGTAACGCAAAAGATAAGACAAGGTGGTACCTTAGAGCAGCGGTCACCAACTGGTCAATCACGACTGACTCGTTGATTGGGGAGCCTGACTGTCGATCTCAGTCTGGGTAGGCTCAGCCCCCACAGACTGAGATCGACAGTCAGAGGCTTCATGATCAGAAGTGGCAGGACGCACATGGCTAGGCTGAGCCATGCCCCGTCTCTGGGGCCAGGCCGGGGGAGCACCTTCCGTGCCCCCTGCCACCTGGTGAGTGGGGCCCCAGCTGGGCCAGGCCGGGGGAGGGTTGGAGCCTGGGTGGCTTGTCTTGGGGGGGGCTCCCACTGCTGCATGCACCCCGGCGGAGGCCCGAGGGGCACATGCTCCCCATATCAATGTTCCCTCTAAGGAGCAGCAGTCCATGAGCACACTGCCTTGGTCCGGCGTGGGACACTTACCAAACGGGACTGAGGGCTGGGGGCCGGAGGCCAGGGTCTGAGGCCAGAGGCTGGAGCTGAGGGCTGGGCCCAGAGGCTGGAGCTGGGGCTGGAGGCCAGGGGCTGGAGCCAGGGGCTGGTGGCTGGAGGCTGGGGGCCAGGGCCGGGGGCCGGAGGCTGAAGCCAGGGGCCGGTGGCTGGAGGCTGGGACTGGGAGCCGGGGGCCATGGGCTGAGGCCAGGGGCTGGTGGCTGGGGGCTGGAACTGGAGGACAGGGGCTGGAGGCTGGGGCCGGGGGCTGGAGCCAGGGGCAGGCTCCACCAGCTCTGGGGAAGTGCTCCGCTTCCCCGCATCAGGGCCGAGGAGCGGAGCACTTCCCCAGAGCTGGCAAAGCTCGTGCCAGCCCCCTGTGCCAGCCTACATCCCTGCCTTGCCTCATCTTGGGGAGGAGCCGCTGCCTGCTCCGAATGAGGCTCTGCTGGCTCTGGGACACCGTGTCTGTGTGTGTGCATGTGTGTGTGTACATTTGGCCGCTGCGGGGGCAGGGGGCAGGGAGAAGAGGCGGGGATGTGCCCCCCAGCCCGGTAGGGTCCACACAGCCTCCCCCGCCAGCACTAGGAGGGGTGGATGGAGGGGGCCTCCAATTTTGTGCTTGCCCAGGGCCCTTAATCTGCCTCTGTCTTCCCCCCTGCCCCCCACACTGACCAGCTGGGTGGGGGGAGGGAGGGGGGAGCATGGTAGATCCTGGGTTGCCCTTTCCTTCAAAAAGTGAGCTTCACCTTAAAAAGGTTGGAGACCATTGCCTTATAGAGTAAATGCTATGTACTGATTATCTTAGTTGTTACTGAAGCTGAAGCAATTGGAAATGAGTAAAGCTTAAAATGTAGAAAAGATGCTGTTGAAGATTAGGGACATGAAATTCTCATGTGCAAACTTCCTAAATACTTACCTCATTTTTGGATTTTTGACAAAGCCAGTGTTGATAAAAATAGGACAAAGGCATGTAGTTTTTATTCCATCTTTTCCTAATGCAGACAGTTCTTGTGTAAGAGCTTTATGAAATCCAACTGCAGCAAACTTGCTTGAACTAAAAGAAATTACAAACAACCTAGATGGAAAATTATTTCGAATCCCAGTTACTTGTGATAATCTCTTGCACATCTGTCATTTAACTCTACTTAATACAAACCATCAGCAAGTTGGGGTAGTTAGTTTTAATAACAAGTATGTCTTAAGTTTCTACCTCCTCAGCATTCTATTCTTAGATTTTAAGAGGTGCGTTTACAAGGAGAAAACTAAAACCTGAGTTTACATAAATGGAAACCGTCTAAAAAACCTGGAAATCATGTTTTGCCTTCCCAAAAAAGATGCTTCTACCTTTTTTAAATATCAAATGTTCGAGTTTCCTCTGTACAGTCCTATTCTTTACTTGGTTAGCTTTAAACTAACATACATGTTATATCCCAAGTCTCTGCTGAATATCACAAAATCAAAACTAGTGTGAAGAGAGATTTGTCTTTTAAAAGAGTTGCAGTGGATTGGAGCCAGAGACTGAATGAATACTTACTTTTTTAAAAATTGTAAACGAACACTTATGTTTATCTACTGGAATTTCTTTATTTTTAACTTGGTATGTAAACACTCTGCATATCTAACTACAGTGAACTAGTATCCAAATACTGGTTAATGGTATAATTTAGTATTTACTAAGTGTCAAATACATTATAAGATTTTTGGAAGAAAGAAAGGTATTTAAAGATTTTAAAATAGGGGAAATAGCTCAGTCCTATTAATGGTTAAAAAATAATGTGAAACTCAGTTACCCTTCACTTCATCACTAATGCTGTGACAAATTTTTGCAAAAGAATTTTCAGTCTAAAATAGCTAAATTGGATGCGACTTCAAACTGAACAGCTACCAATATAATGAAAGGGGTTTTTTTTCTGTTCAAACAGAATATCTACTTGGCTCACCCCTTCTGTGTGAAAGGCTATAAGAAGCCTTTTGCAAGGAAGTATTTATAGCAATCTCCTCTTGAAGATTCTCCTGTTATCATCAACTCGGGGGTGGAGTTCACACCTGTAGCTGTATGCTCTGATCTTTGAAGCCAAACTACCCATGTTTCCTCCATCTTCACCAGAGAGATTCCAAGAGAATTTGGTGGAGCTTCACAGAAAAATTAAAATTTTAAAAAAGATAACTGCTACAGAGCTAGAAGATGATCTCTCCCTGGTCCCATGCTGCCACTTCCTTCCCTTTTCCCAACTTTTTCCTCAGCAGATTCTGGAATGCATAAACATTGTTCTGAAAGGTTGAGAGAGGGAGAACTGTGCTTTATAAGCACTAGGATTTCAGGAAAGCTAGTCTATGAGTGGAGGGTCACTCCACACACAGTTCCATGTGTTGCTACAGTCTGAGCCCTTGGATTTATGTCAAGTTCCTCAGCGATTTACTGAATTCACTGATGCAAGTTTTCAGTGTCTCAGATGTCTTTGGTATTATTTAATCTACGAAATGGAATGTCTACAAAATCATCAGATTACTGATAGGTAGAGCCAATATACAAGAACAAAAACATAAATCACTGAAACCTCAATCTATTAGATACAAATCCTAAGAAACTGAGTATAGTGGCTACATCACACTGGGAAAGATGGCTTTGGCAAATTTCTTCACCTGAGAAGAGCTCTGAAGCTAAATTTATTGACTTGGATACTGGATTATCATCTGATTGAAGATGGGGCTAGTAAACAAAGTTCATTATTTTATTAGTGGTGCTTTTTTGTATAATGGCATCTACCTTACAAAAAGCCTTCAGGACTGAATTTGTAATTTTGGTATTGGTTGCAAGTACTCTTTGTGAGTGGAAAAAAGAAATTCTAATATAAGAAAGGAGACTGACATTCAAAACCACATACCAATAAGACAACATGAAAGAAGCTGGCGTGTGACCCGCTGCTGAAGAAACTGTAACAATATGGCCATGGTTATTCTTCATCATTGTTGGAAGAAATGCTTTTGTTGTCTTGAAAATAATTAAAGGAAAAAAGTATGTTTTCCATGCATTTTAAATATTTCAGCTTATTAGCTAATGAATTTATAGTCTTTAAATTTATGGGGATTGAAGCTTCTTATTAATTTGATGTATAATGCAAAGGAACATGCAAAGTAGCAGATTTTCACAAATATTCATGTGCCTAAAAATAAAGATGAATTCTTCATGGTATTTTCACTTAAATATTTACCATTGACTGATTTTAGCTGGCACCTTCAATAAATTTTCAAAAAGAAGAGATATTTCAGGGAAGCTTGATGTAAACATTTTAAAGGACAGTTCTCATTTTTTTGCTTCATTTAGGTTTTACCAGTTTTAATTTGAAAGCAGAAAGCCATAGATGTCATTCAAATTCATACAGTAAAAACCTCCTGAAACATTTTTATATGTTTTCTATATATTTTTCCAATACACAGAAAAAGTCTTTACTGATAAGTATAAAAACTAAGCAGTGACAGGATGACTATCAGGGTTTAGAACTTAACAAATATGCAAAGAACAAGGATGAGAATAAATGGATAATTTTCAGCATGCAAAAGTTTGATTAGCTTGATTGACAACAGGGTGTCCCAAAGATTATCACTAACATGGATACTGTTTAATGCCCTCGAAAAGGGGGTGAACAGTAAAGAAGAAATTTTTAGAGGATACGGTAAAGTTAGTCACAATGGCTGATTTGAGTGGAGCTGGACCAATGTATTATCAGGAGAGAATCTGATCATACATTAATACAAAATGATGGCTACAATTAAAGTTCTGCTCTGGGTCAGGGGTTTATAAGGGGGAACTGGAGGGTCAGCTAACCCCAGCCTGCCTCTCCATTGCTAGTGAGTGGGCAGATGGCTAGGCCATGCTGGAGGATTCAGTACAGCCTTGACCAGTCTGGGTTACAGGCTTTAGGCTGGGAGGAGCAGTCATGTGGTCAAGTCAAAGTGCCAGGCTACAGCCTGACAGTTAGTAGTTAGATTATATAGGTCTTCAAATACACAATATGCACTACGGATTGTCGCAGAGCACCTCGGTGCTCTGCTCCTAGAGGGGAGAAACTGCCAGGGAGAGAGACAGAGCCCTGGCAGGTCATAACGAGCCCGGCTGAGTGTTGCCAGGGTAACGAGCCCAGCTGCAGGTTGCCGGGGCAGCTAAGGGGAACCAGCTGCCTGTTGGAGGCAGGGCCTGGCCCTTATAAAGCCCAGGGCTGAGACCAGGCAGGCAGGCAGTTCCCTGCCAGCAGCCGGAGAGGCAGGAGCTCCCTTGGCTGAGATGTGGCAAGAGGCCTGACTTGCAAGTACAGCTCACGATAGCCCTGAGAGGATGGGGCACTATGGTTTAGCCAGGAGGCTCTAGTTTATGTTCAGGCTTGCATATTACACCGGAGGCTTGGGTGAGGCTGTAGGGGTTGGAGGAGGCCTCATAGGGACCCCAGAGGTGTGGGGCCCCTGAGCGCAACCAGTAGGTTGCGGGCGGGGAACAGACCCCGGGTTGTAT